TAAGCTTCATGCTTCTGCAGAGTCTTTAAGAACACTCCGCAAGTTTTTGCCCACTGCCATAAAAATTAAGCTCAGGCAATCTGTTATGATGCCTCTGCCTGGATTACGCCAATATGATCACATTGCTGTATTTCGCGATAAACTAAAGTGGTTGCTTATTCGACTTCGCCTGAATGCACATTTTCTAACGATGTTATAGCATGCTTTTTAATCCTATTACCTCTTCTTATCTTAAAGATCGTTTCAAATATACCAAAGATCATTATCGCCTCTTGAGTTTATCAGAAAATTTGCAGTTGGATATGCTGATGCACAGTAAAATGTTCTACGATAAATCTTTTACAGTTCAAGCTGTACGCATGTGGAATGCACTAACAGTATCGATTAGAAAAACTAAGTCTATTAATATATTTAAGGAACTCGTTAAACAACAATATCTGTCCATGTAAGCCTGCAATTTATATGTATATACAATATATATATAATCAAGTATATTATATTGTTTTTTACGACATAAAATTTAAAATAATAAGTTATATTCTGGATATAAATAGTATATAAGTGTATCATCCACTACCCCATTATTATTAGCACATTTTAGATTTAACTCCATCCCAAGGCTGCCTGGAAGATTTCACTTTTAGTGATAAAGCCACCATTATTACGTCTCTTGTCTATAATTGAAGTTTTAAGTGTTATATATGTGTACAATAAAGAGTTTTCTATCTATCTATTATATAATAAACATAAGAAATGCAATACTTAATTTTTAATAGCATATAAGCAATACATAAATGAAACATTTGTTATAATTATACGAATAAATAGTAAAATTTATAATAAAATATGGAATTTAATATACAAAACTGTTGCACTTTACACCTTGAATTTTCTTCTACAATCAATGAACGTGAACGCTAAAGCGGCCCGTTACAGTGTACTATCAAATATTTGAAGGCGTACTTTAAGCGGAATGCATTGAAAAGTTACGCATGCATAAGAATGTTTGGTTGCATTGAAATTCCTGGGTGTAGTAATGGCGGGCGGGCGGGGTACCAGCGCTCCGTGCTGAGTAAATAAAACTACAACAGATACACGTTTCTAAACCATGCTCAATGTTCTATCTCATTATATTGAAAATTCTATTTGAATATTTTATAATTACTAATACTAATAGTTATATATGTTGTAGCTTTTTTTTAATTATAATTGTTAAGTTCAGATGCACAAACGTCCATTAAGGTTTAATGAAGACATTCAGCTGTAATGAACGTTCTAAATTAAAAAAAAAAAATTATCGGAAATCTTGCTTTAAGATCCTTTATGCAACAGGGTGTTAGTGTTTGTTCGATGTTCTTTTGATTAAAACGTCATTATCTATATATAATAACCATTCAATATACCGACGACAATAATATTTTTGGAAAATGAATTGTATGAAAAGTTTATACTAGATATAGTAATTATTTGAAAAAAAAGACACATCTACCATAAGAATTTCGATAACCTGGTATGTAGAGATAACTTCATGGGTATCCTGAGGAATGTAAACAAGTTTTCATTATAAAAAGTAACTGTTTCGTGTGTGTGTGTGTGTGTATTTATTTTACGGTTAACTACTTCATGATACGTGTTCTAAACTCTAATGTTAAAATACTGGAACAGTAACTTATATAAAAGATTTTCCATTTACATAAACCATTTTAGATTGACATATCGTTACAAAAAAGGATACACTTTCACTACTTTATAATATATTATTAACAAATGTTAACGATGTTTTCTATCTTAGGACAGTAAATAAATAATTTTCAATATAAAAAGTGAAAATTATAATGTTACTTTTTTATCATAGATGTGGAATATTTTCTAAAAGAAGGTATTGTTCCAAAACATAAAGTATATTAACTGAGGTATACAAATATTTGTTATTAAAAAGAGTAATAAGTAGAGAGTTGTTGAAAAGCGCTCGGCGAGGTCGCTAGGTGCATGTTACTATGAATGAAAAGGTATTAAGAAACGCAAGCTACCATACAACCCAAATACCAAGCATTCTTGCTATCGCTCCACGTGTGCAAGCTCCTCTCTTACCGTACCGCAACGCCAGAAATAATTTGCTTAGCTTACATACCATAATGAAATATATGTTACAGTATAACCAGCATATTGGTAATGTAAATTATTGAATGAATTAAAATAAAATTAATGCCTGACGATTTGTGATTGTGCACTGAAATCCTTATTTAAATGGTTTCTTAAATGTTTAGATGTCGATTACAGCGATTAAATTAATTTTTCGTGATTGGGATATATTGTCGATTACTTTTTTCTTATTAATTAAATGAAGACTTTTGACTTTTTAGAAGTACTATACAATCGGTTTAAAAAATTAGAAGCGAGAGATTTTGTGTTCAGTTCTGTCTTCGTTCATCATCAGCCTGTAAACGTACCCACACTAGCACTCAGGCCTTCCCAATGCATGGAATAGAATCAAATTGAATACGCTATGAAAGTTCGAATTGATGTGTATTTACTACTGCAGATGCAGCCAGGACCAACGGCTTAACGTGCCTTCCGAAGCACGGAGCATCTCAAGATAATAAATTTTTGGTCACCCATCCTATGATCGGTCATTGCGAAAGTTGCTTACAACCGTATCGCAGACCTAGTGCGTTAACCACTTCTCTATCGAGCAGAGAAATTCAATTACACAACATCACCATTACGCTAGAAATCACTCACAATCTCAATAATAAAAATAACGTAACAAATACTTGCCCTATGCAGTCGTTCTAAAGTTCTACTTTACATGTATGACGACTTATAAAAACTGCTCTCTGACTTGTATTATATTAAGCAAATACACTGATGTATTAAAATATGAAAATTGCATGTACTCAAATATTAATTTAAAACAAATTATATGACTGTAATAGTTACACTTTACCATATTTATTATGATTTGTTACCAATTGTAAATAAAATATTTATTAAATGTTATTGAGTTTCTATGCAAAAATAGAAACTAGTTTTGCACTAAGTAAGTTAGGTATATTACATCAGTCTATAAAAGAGTCTGACAAACTCATAAGTATCTTAGAAAAAATAAGTAGGATAGAAAAGTTAGTATATACACCTAGCGTAGCCAATTTAGTTAAGATAGAGCAGACTATTAATATCAAAGCTTATTTCAAAGACAATAAGATCACTTACCTTCTGGAAATACCTCTAATAGAAGGAGATACATATATCTATTATAAACTAATTCCTTTACCTGTTCTATCCCATGAATCCACCGTCATAATCATACCTAAATACCCGTACCTCTTAGTGAGAGGATCGAAGATCAGACTGCTCAACCAGCCCTGTCAAGAAATCGAAGAGTCCAGTTTTATTTGCACCAATGATGAAAAGCTTCAGTTTGTTCAGGACCACTGCATCAGTGACTTGATAACGAAGGCGTATTTTTAACTGAGATAATTTAACACAGTTTACATATAAATTGGTGAGATTTCTTAAAGAAAGCAGATTTATTTATTTGATCTAAAATAGCACTGCAATGTTTGGTTACTCAACTTTTATTGCCTGTTGTTTTGAATATAAGGGATTCCTGAAAATAAAGCCATTTTGTTTTGGTGAGTGCTCCTAAACTATAATTAACTTACATAAAATATTGATATTCTAATTTAAATCGATTGAAAATCTACAAAGGAACTAAATTAAATTTACCCATAATAACTTTTTTATTTACCATACAAAAATTATGATAAAACCAATATTTTGTTAACACGTTTAACATCTTACAATATAATAGAAAAAGATAAAATAATTCCAAGAACAAAATGATTCAACTTTACTAACAATCAATACTAAGAAACTTTACTATTCGTTCTCCTCCAAACCCGTTTCATTAGTCATCTTAAATATCACGTCGATAGTACATCCGATTTTTTATTTACACATTCATTCAATTTTTTAAGGAAGTGTCGATCACATTAGTCACATCAAAATACCAATAATAATACGACTACCGAATGTTTAAAAAATAACTCTAAAATGAAAAAAAAATCTTATATTTTGAGAAATTTAATATTCTTAAATAAGCTTTTGAGGTTAATAACTATAGTGACATATAAAAAGTGGAGTCTATTCTTTCGTTCGGTTCCCACGTTATTTTTTGTGAAGCAGCTCGATAAGGGGAATAGTGTACCCTTTCTTAGACCAGCGAACGATCGTGGGTTCTTATTTATTGCTAATAGATTTCCGAAAGGTTAATATCTATGCGTGCATTTATAAGGGGACGACCCATTTAATACAATCAAACTACTTATTCGATAGAGTTAATTATCAATTAGATATGTGTTCCTTTTAATAATAAGCTTATTATATAATAATCTTAATACAGGGAATACTTGAGCCCTAACAGTTTAGGTAATACAGGATGATAATGATATAAAACAACTTCGTGGGGTCGAGTCCTACTGCGGGGTACCTGGGTCTGGTTGATTTTTTAAACATTTTTCATTAAGTATTTTTACTATAGAACATTGTAAATGTAAAATTGATAATATATATTAATAAGAAATTGTTCTATTGTATACAATACATTAATGTAGGCATTTCGTAGCAGTGATGAGATATTGATTTTATTTTACTTTAAATATATTACAAAACGAAGATGTTTGGTTTAGAACCAATAAATGGAACAATTTATGAGGAAGTTATTAAATTTATTATATATTTTTTTGTGTTGATTCATTGTTTTGTGCAAATTGGCTGATTGACTATGAAGATTGTCAAAGATATCGGAAAAAAGTTGCGCCTACCGTGAAGCTTACTATGTTATAATTGCATTATCCAAACCATGAATTATTTTAGTTATCTTTTCAGACTTTGTACTGAAAATTTGGATAATTGTTGCTGAACTCGTTCATATAATTATTTATTTAAAGCATATTATGTTTATAGTTTCTTTATGTTATTTTTTTTGCGTGTCGCAGGCGCGAGCGGCACGGGCGACGCTAGCAGGGTGACCGGCGTGACGCGTCGCGGCCGTTGTAAATGGTTCAACGTAGCCAAAGGTTGGGGATTCATCACCCCTAATGATGGTGGGCAGGACGTTTTCGTGCATCAGGTATAACTTTTATTTTAATTAGCACTCAATGTTTACGTTACAACTTTAAGTTAAAGCTTATGAAATTAAAAAAGCTTCTAAACTTCTTCGATAAAAGAAGTTTATTAACTGAAACAATATGGACGCTGTATCTAACATAGTATTGATTAAGAATAATTGCAGATTAATTATCTATTCGAAAAAATGACACTGAAAAAACGGTATCAACACACTCATGAGACTTTAAAGATTTGGATACGTAGTTTGATAGCACATCCATTTTTCGTATGTTTATATTAACTTTTTATTTACATTCTTAGCGAAAAAGTATTGACGAATAGATGTCTCAAGGAATATTAATATGACGCTTTTGTTCAGTACTTCAGTACACATTTTTGTTAGTCAAATATTGAGAATTACTTTGCATATGTAATCAGAAAAGCATATAAGGTAGTTGCACCGGCGAAGACTTTACGACTGCCTCAACCGCATTCTTTCTCATCAAGCATGTGGAATTTTTCACTGGCTTATTAATGTTATGTAATTAGATAACCATCGGCATCCATAGATATTTAAACTACATCGTTTGTGAATTAAGGTATTTAGTATAAAGAAGAATGAACGAACCATGCGTCAATAAAATCAGAGACGATATATGAACATATATAGACATGGACTAATTAGAAATATTATAAAATAATGATAAGTTTAATTTAAAGATGACATAACGCGAACACCTGTCTGTGAATTTAAATAGTTAATACGTTAAATACGTTGAATTATAATGCAGGTTCCACCCTATAATTGGTAAGATTTTCTGATAAAGTGCGTTCTATAACATCCGGTTTTAAAAGGGCTAGCGACTATGCCTTGACTGTGTCTTTGTGTGTATGCGTGTTTTTATAATGAAACCGATGACGAATATTGCGTGTCGCTCAATGCTATATTTATTTTAACATCTGACGAATCCTTTGATATTGCGCATTAGTTTTTGTATATGTGAACATTTCCAATTGCAGTGTAAAAACTTATATGATTTATTGAAGTCGTATCAATTCTATGATGAATGTTTTTGTAACTAATAGAAAAGTCAAATCGTTTCACAGAACTGAGTGGTATCTAGTAGTTGACCCGATAGAGTGCTTGTTTGTTTGTTCTGCTTATCAAGGCCGGATGTTTTTTCCATACATTTTACGCCACCAATCTCGTACTTCGTTCGGTTGCAGCGTAACTGTGCGACCACAAATTTTTATATCAGGTCAAGAATTTAATGTCGAATACGATAGTGTTTTTAAATTCTAGATAGTATAACATTTAAATGTTGGTTTCGTAAATTTCTTGAATATTAAATATGTTATGAGAATTTGAAACTTTATGTCATATAGGTATAATGATTACAAGAGTCTTTATAAAATAATTCAACTCCTAACTCATCGTTCTGTTATTTAAGTAGGAATTCACATTTCTATAAAATTTTACAACTATTGCCCGTGACTCATTCGTTGTACGTAAGTACTTATATTTTTAATGATTTGAAAGTTGACTATGTTTTGATATTCTACCAGTATTATATTTATTATAATTTATTAATTTAAATTAATAAATGTCCTAATATAATATGTCCTGTCCTGCATAAGGTCCTAAAGCCTTTAGGACCTTATGCATTAAATTAATGTGCAATTATTAAATTAATGCGTTGTTTATCGCAATAAATGGTGGTTAACATACAGTTAGATACCATTAATAGTTTCTTATTAAAATCTATAAACAAAAGACGTAGTGTTAAATAACCTTATGACGAAGGTTGATCTCCTTTTTGAAATCGATTAGTTAATCAAAATAATCCGAATAAAAATAAGCATAGTGTAAATACATTATTATAATGAAATACTTTATTTCAATTGTTTATATTTAACCATCTTCAATGCAACAATTTGGAATACTAAAATTATATTTCATAGATGTTAAATGATTACCATTCGTAGTAGGATATAGGATAGATTTGGACTTTATTCTCGTGAACGATATCGAATATCTCTTTCCTTTTTTTATATGGCCACCTTAAATTGAAAACTTATTTATTAGCTAGATAGATAGTTTGAATTTCCAATACAAAATACACCTCTCATCTATAAGTCTTGATAGTTGGTTTTGTTAAATTTAGTAACTGACAGTAGGAAGGTTCCCTATCGATTCCAAAATTTATATAGTATAGCAAGCAAGTAATTAGTTTATTATTCTATGCTCCATTTTAAAAATTCAATTTTTTTTCAGAGCGTAATACAGATGCCAGGTTTCCGTTCCCTGGGAGACGAGGAAGAAGTGGAATTTGAATGTAAAGAATCTGATAAAGGTCTAGAGGCAACACGCGTCTCTGGACCTTCGTCTGTTGATTGCCAGGGGTCGCATCGCCGCCCGCTGTCTAAGAAACGCTTCAGAAAGATACGGTAAATATTCAACAATCTAATCCTCTAATCTTTCTTCGTTAATGAATACATGAATGATACACTTTAAAGACATTCTTGTATGATACCTAATTACGCAATACGCAGTGATAAAACGATAATAACATATCATTTCCATCAATCCACGTGGCGTAATGCCACACATGCTGTAAACAATATCTATTCGGGAATTATTTTCTACATATAAAATTAAATAATCCGTGAAATAAAATAATGAGCAATAGTTCAGGGGTCACATATAAAAACCGTGATATTTTCCCAAATTTCGAACATAAGTTGTAGGCAAAAGAAAATTTATAATACGATAACTATTTTTATTTATTATTATATTTGATTAATTTGGCATTCACAATGTTATACTATAAAATATTCTTAATAAAAAAAATTCAGGGTGCCAAGGACCAAGTGGATTTTTTAAGTTTTTTTCATTAAGAATCTATTTATTAATTTAATATTTTCTTTATACTACAATCTAAAAAAATACGTTACAAATACTTTAGAAGTATGTATTTGATTTTTTTTTCTAAATGCCCTGGAACTTTTATGCTATTCTTTAAAAAACACAGTCTCGAACTTGGCATCGAACGCGGTGATGTCACGTCATAGAGCTACGATGAAATAAAACCTTTATTACTTTTTGAAGTAGGTTTCATTTTATTAAACATCTATGCCGTGATAATTTTGCTTCTATTACAAAGAAGTACTACAGGATAACGTAAAAAGAAAGGCTATAGCGGATAAATTGAAAATCCTTGTTATTGTTTTATGTAACTTCTGTTTTAACCAGCATAAATTTTTTACACATACAAAAATTTAAAGGATGACTGAAAAAATTTGGAGTTACTACATATAAAATGCACCCGTTCGAAGCCTGGACTGTTATTATTTAATGCATTATATCGACTACTTACTTACTGTGTGTGAATTTCGTACCGCCATATTTTCTCCAATCGCGACTGAGTATTTTTTTTAATAAATTTTCTTATACACATCTTGTTCTGGCAACAAGGAACGCATTAAAGAATCATCCAATTTGCTGCAATCTTTGGGAAGTTATGCGCGTACATACATTTCGACAGACAGAAGAATGAATGTCCAGAACAAATTGATGTTTTTATGATCCTAGAATTGTCTTTTACGATTTCCAGTTGCTACAATTGTGGGGAGTTTGCGAACCACATAGCGGCAAAGTGCAGTATCGGTCCGCAACCAAAGAGATGTCACAACTGCAAAAGCGAAGACCACCTTATTGCTGATTGCCCCGTAAAGGTTCTAATTTGAAAATATTTATTTTTTATTTGGTGAAGAATATTTTCATCGTCATATGAAGTAGATATAGGTACTCTTGAATTTAATGAATTTAGTTTTATAATGACTAATGGTTGTTCCATCCTTCTTAATTATTACTTTTATAATTACTAAATTTATTATTTTAAAAATATCTTCCTTATTTTTGTCGTCTGTATTATGAATTTCAAAAACACAAGAAAATACACTGGTTGGATTTCGAGATATGCAATAATGATATTTTATTATTAAATATAGTATGTATCAACATGAGCCCTTTTACGTCCCCACTGCAGGGGCTTAAGCCTTCCATGTTCCAAGACCTTCCACGCTGGTCCAATGCGGATTGGAGAGTATTAACGACTGGATGACAATGAAATACAGCCAGGACCAACGGCATAACCTTAACGTAACGTCAAGGGTACAACACCGTTACAACGTTATGTCGTTGTCGCGTTCCAAAACACGGAGTAGTTCGAGATAATAATTTTTTGATCATCCAATCCGTGACCGATTAGCTTGTTTTAAAGACTAAAAAACATTGTAGAATAGGTAGTAATTGTATTAGATGAAAGATGGTTCTAACTTTATGGGAATTTTATTAATGCGTTGTTTATCGTCACAGAAATAAATACAATAGATTATAACATTTAATGCGAATCTCTATACATGTTATAGTTTCCATTCAGTATAATCATCCTTTTTATTATTTTAACATGTATAAGTTGTAAGTTATTTTTGAGAATTGACGATGATACTTTTGTGTATGTTTGTAGGTTGAAAAGAAAGATGATCCGCAATCGAAGAGTTCAGGCAGTTCCCAGGGGAGTCAGCAAGGCAGCCCTCGGCAGTCATAATACCATCTTTAGATTACCGTAACTTTATTCATATCTGTCAAATTTATGTTTAGCATAAAAGCATTTCTGTTTACGTTTAGGTGTCGGTTCGAAATTATGGAATCATTTAAAAATCTAAATAATGATACATTTTCTGTCGATGCGATAATAATGATTAGAAAAGAACACATCTACCTCATTCAATCTACCTTCATAAACAGCACAACTGAGAAGACTGATCAGTACAAATCCATAATTTAGTACAAAATCATAAGTATGTATTTTTATTAATAGAATATTTATAACCTAAGTTCGCAAAAGTAACGTAAGTACAAATTTTATGTGTTCGAGTGTCAATATCTTTAGTTAACTTTATTTTAAAATGGTATTTACCCAAAGTTAAGTGTGTGCTTATTTTACTATTATTAATTTTGTTGCTATATTATATTATGATTAACTTTGTGTTAGAATTTAACGGTACATACTACGTTAAATTAGGATTAGAAGTATTAAATCTGGCTATGAAAATAATAATATCAATAACTAAGAGCATACATACATCACTTATTAAGATTTCCGTCAATTTATTGATTAAAAACTCATTTTTAACATGGCATGCAATAAAAAATATATAAGTGCAATTGTAAATACATATAATGATGTTAACGGGTGTAAAGAGAAAGACTAAATAACTTTGCAGCAAATACAATAGCTCCCTAATTAAATATTAACTGATTGGGTTTTCCAAAAAATATATGCTGAAATACGTTAACCCATTCTTTCTGCATATACATATTTCTTTCTCGGACGTTCTCCAACTCATCACTGCAGTCAAATAATTAAAATATCTTGTTTCATAATGTATGAACATGTATGTATTTTTGGGAGAAAGTTTTTGTCGTTTATCTAGAATCATAAAATGAAGTATTAAAAAGAAGCGTATTTTTTAAATACAATATCTGAAGAAAATCATGTCGAAGTCTAATTTTAAATTGATAAAAAGATATTTTCTAGTTCTAGGAATTATAAAAGTGGCCGTCAACTGTCTCCGCACGCATGCACTAGCCGCGGGATACGCAACAGATTGTATGGATTTTCCCGATGTCATACGTTCACTTCATCCGCATTTTTCGAAGATGCTTCTATGAAAAATTCGTGTGTAGGTTTAATATAACTCTGTAAAGTACCTAATATATAGTAGTATCTATGAAAGTAATCTGTGTGATGTCATCAGCATCTTCATTGCCCATATATTGCGTGTTGTAGACGGAAAATACGGAGCATGTCGTGCGGCCGGTGCGTGCATTCGGACTATATGGATGTTCACCTTAATCATCATTAAAAATTATAAATAAAATATAATTACTATGGGATGTTTATGTTGTAGCTAAATATGATTGTTTAAATGAAATTATATTTTACACTTTGCACTATATATTGATAGAAACACTTAGGAAATTGTTTAATATGTTGCCGATAAATAAATCAAATCATATGAAATTAGTTTAAAGTGAGTATGTTAAAAGGTGATAAATCAATTCAGAATTGAAACATATGTATTGCAGAATAATTATTAAAGTTAACGTGCCAAAGTCATTATTGAAATACGCAATGATTCTTGGTAAGTAAAATGTACCTATTTCTTTTTTTTTGTACACGTAGTATTATAAATAAAAACATCACATAACTGCCATTTGCGACTTAAGTTTGCTCAAATATTTTAACATAAGTGGACTTATTTCAGAATTATATTGTATTTTGTGGTCAGCGGGTACTTAATTTATCCTGCAGACACGACTAAGTTTTTTCTTAGTTGAATCATTTATGTTATTTTGCAATAAATACGAATTTAGTTATAAGTTGAGCAGTAAATTGATGGCAGGTATTCTGAACAATTACAAAAAAAAATTTTTTACAGTGTTTAATAGTCAACAATACCTTGTGATCTACATAAACGGAAAATAGTATTTTTTTGTATTAAAAAGTTTTGTCGATTGTCACTAATAAATAAATATCAAATATACTTTTACTTCATTTGACACGAAAATAACGAATTAGAGAATTCATATCATTATTATTTTCTAATACAATGTCATTTTTAGATTTATTTATTATATTGTTAGAAATCTTTCTTATTGTTCGCATAATTTTAAGCGGTATAGATTATTAGAGTTTATAATTGAGCCAAATAAATATTAATTAAAAATACTATCAACGTGAATACAATTTAAATATGGCATCGTTCATATTAAACGTTAAATCATGAGTTAAAATATTGCACAGGCTTAATATGAGGATTGAATGCACTAGATACTACTAGTACAGGGACTCTCAAACATTTAATTATAAGGGAACGCCAGCCAAATCAATTTTATTTTATGGACCACAATATAAAAAAAGATTTTATCAAAAATTTATAAGAATTGAAACGCTGTAATTTAAATTTTACGTGAAAAATGCAATCGTCTCTACATTTTCTTTAAAATATTTAGTTCGGTGTAATGTCTAAGAATTGTATTTATAAATATAAAGTACATGGTAGCAATTCCGTTATTAGCAATCATTCTAATGTTTATGAAAGTTTAAAACAAACAAAGACAAATTGTATTGATTGCACAAATACCCAATATAGTTGAGTAAAGTATGCACATGCTGAAACATACACACTCATGTGTTCTTACGTACTGTGCCATATGTACCGTACCGTACGTCGAGTTATGACAGTGACGTAGCCGTTTGGAAGTATTCGTTTTAATAAGTGCCCATGATCAAGGATTGGTTTATTTTTGTTGACTTTGTAAGCATCCTTAAACATATCAAAACTAGAATTATATTTATACGTGTTAATTTACATATGCAGATTACTTAAATAACCTGAATAATTTTCATGAATTAATCGGCCTATACAAAAGATAAAATGTTATTTTATACTGGGAAGTCTGACTCCACTCCTTCTGTGTCTGCTTTGACTTGGTTGAAAAGTTGAACGATGCCTTAATTTTGTCTATAAGTAAAATTTTACTTTTAAAACGTAATAATTGTTAAAAAATATTACAAAAAAAGCAGTTGATAGTGTTTTTATCATTGTTATAATTATAATTGCTAATGAAAATTAGACATATGGTTGACCATCATAATTTTTAACGTAATAATAATATCGATTAAATACGGGTTTTTTGCATTTCAGTTAAATTAGTAAATAATATGTAATTATTTATAAGCAAGATTTTTAAGAAAGACTACTTGGAAACATCTACCTCATAATTTTACGTTAAATAGAGTTTATTATTAAGTTAATGATCATTTACAAATTTTAGACATTTAATTTTTTTAATATCTTTGCTAAATAAATGTCGAATTTCTGGATGACTGTATTCCTTATGTTTAGAGTTTAATTTTTGTTTTTTTTTTTATTATTCGAATAAAATAAATATTTAAAATAAGCTCATGGGTTATTTAATTTGTTACAAGTTTGTAGAATCACATTTATATTGACTTTAGGAGACCAAACTCTATTAAGAACTAAATATAAAGGCGTTTTTTTCAATAACGCTTAAGAGGGTTCGCAGAGAAAAAAAAGAGACAAAATGACGCGGCCAATGAGCCAGTTCCTTATTTTTTTTTAAAACAAGTTTTTTTTTGTATCCAAGATCTTCTAGACAAATCTAAAAAGACTTAACTCGATAGGGTTGCGTTAGTTAATGATAAAGTCAACTAGAAGGTGGCCTTCCAGTTCCATCACTTTTCAAATATTTAGTGATCAGACACTGAATATTATCTCAAGTCAAACTTCTTATATTTAAGATAAAGTAAACTTTTTCAAACTCGAAGGAGTTACTTTATTTAATTGCAGAGGTCCTGTGGATACTTTTCCGCCACATCATCTAATTGATTTCATTGTCATCCAAGTTATGCATGGAAAATTTCAACGCTATCGAAAGCCGGAAAATGTGTTAAATTTGGTTTGCCGGATTTGACCCATACTTACGTACTAGCTAACACACGCGACAAATTAAATAAAAGCTTATGATGCAAATTTATTAACTAACTGTTTATCTAATAAAGCTAGATGACGCTCCAAAAGTTTAAATGATTTCACGAAACATAAAATGCCCATATCAAACTTTGTCTATATGATGTAGTCAATTAATAAATAGTTATAGAGTGAATAGGTTCCTTCTAGGAAAGATCTTCCCATCATAAATCTCACACTTGTCCTTGGGCTGAATTGAGGTCAAGAGTCCGTTATAAATAAATAAAAATTATCACCGATAAATTTTATAGAATAAAATCCAAAATATAAAAGAGTTCAAATATAAAAGTCTCATTATTTAATCCAAATTTATTTGTTTTTTCATTAAAAATTTGATACCTGCGCCCTCTTAAATACTTGAAAGTAGTTAAATTTTAAATTCTATATTTATTTATCTTGCTATAGAGGTTCACACGTCTAAACTATGTTTTTCTACGAAAATAGTGTTGTTTTAACAGTAAATTAACGCATTTCCCTTTGATAGTTCCCAAAATTCTAAAAGATCCCCTAGCTTATTAAATATGTAGAAAAGAAATATAAGTAACGTAAAATTATATCATAACTTCTTGTTTACATGCCCGGCTACTAAAATGATAAAGTATATTAAACACTACAGCTGTCGTCGATGACATACGGTCGAGCGGTTTTGCACGTGCTAATTGATCACTAATTAGCTGAAACACGTCAATCAAGTTGAAGTGTATCAGTGGTCACATCACTGTAATGAGCATCTGCACCAAATGACCACGAGTGACGACGCGGTCCTTGGAGAGGTAAGGGGAATCGGCGCGGATGTCACGTTTTTGAGCGAAGTCGGGCGAAGATGGCCGGTGGATGCAGCAGTGCGGGGCCCCCCGCGCCCCGTGGCAACCCCTCGCCCCGCGCTGACGTAACGCTGCTGCCGTGCCGCCCGCCCTAGTGTGTGCCGCGCCGCGCTCCGAGCGGGCTATCACGCACCCGCGCTCTGCACCTCAGTGTATTTGACGTTTCATTTCTGAACTATCATCTTGGTCTTGATCAGTGAATGAGGTGCATGACCACTTGTGTTACGATACTTATTGCTGCGATCCCCGATACTTAATAGCTTTTATACGATGAAAAACTTGCCACCGCCCTTATTACGCGGATGCATCTGTGTCATTCTTCAATGACATTACCGTTGCAAGATCTCGTTTTATCTATAACCCTTATCAAATTTTCAATTTAGATATTACCTACCTTTGAGCTAGGAATATTTCATTTAGCAATCGGGTTATAGGAGGAGGCTTGTATTATGATTTTTTGTAATATTTACTTATCCGAAAAGCCTCCTCTATTTTAAATTGAAAATTACCGAATGAAGTAAATATACGGTGAATAAAGTAGTTTCTTATCTACCTAAAGAAACAAATCATTTGTTTCTTTACCTACGTTCATTACCTACGTTCTTTACTCCCTCTAATGTACACTTCTAGTTACGTGGGACTTTTAAGATTTTTAAAGCCTTAAAATCCAACGTAACGTTTGTGCTACCAGATATTTGTAATAGTAAATCAACAATCAGTTATATATTTTAGGAGAAATACTATCACATTGTTAGAAATCTTATGGTAAGTTAGCTGTGATGGACCTTGT